TGGGCTGGTCACCAGAAAGACCAATCATTTTGAGGGTTGGAACATTCAGTCCCACCCCCTAACCTCTGGCAGGGGAGAGGGGCTGAAGTTTGAGCTGACTCCCAGTGGCCAATGACGTAATCAATCATGCCTACATAATGAGGCCTCCACAAACACCCAAAGCACTGGCAGGAGAGCTTCGGGACAGCTGGGCTTGTGAAGGTTTCTAGGGGGTGGTGTCCCATCTCCTGTACCTTGCCCCATGTCTCTCCTCACGTGGCTGTTCGTGTCTTTTGTAACATTCTTCATAAGAAATAGGTAAATGCAAGTCAAGTGTTTCCCTGCATTCTGTGAGCCGTCCTATAAAATTAAACCCAAGGAAGGCACAGTGGGAACCCCGATTTATAGCTAGTTGGTCCGAAATGCAGGTCACAATCGCACAGGACTTGCGATTGGCATCTGCAGTGGGCGCAGTCCTGTGGAACCGAGCCCTCAACCTGTGGGGCCCGATCCTATCTGCCGGCAGACAGCGTCGGAACTGGGTGGAATCAGAGGGCAGCCAGCTGGGTCAGCCAGAGCGTTGCTTGGTGTGCGGGAAACACCTGCGCACGCTCTGGCGGCTCGAGGTGAAGCGCTCTGCGCTGTGTCGAGTGTGTGAAAGTAGGAAAAACATTTTGTTTTTTCCCATCTCAGTTTCCAAAAATGCTAATTAACATATTAAGCTTTAAAAGCCTGAGATTTTTCTCACAGCTGTGGGCCTGACCACTTGAACCACAGGCCAAGCCCCTGAAATTCTTTAGGGCTGCCTGTCTTTAACTTAGAGTCTAGAAACTGCTTCAGGGGAGGGAGTTTTGACCCCCCAGGAATCCCAGCAGGGGCCTGAAGATCGGGACCCACCCTCCCCTCTCCTTCCCCCTCCCCTGCCCCCCCCGCGGCATGTGAAGTGTTTTGGTCCAACGATCACTCACAGGGGTTCCCTGAAGGGTGTGTACACCGGGGACTGGGCTTGTGGATCCCCACAGGGGCACGACTCCACCACATGAATGAGGGGAAAATAACCTAGGATGTTCCCTGCGCTTCCCTCATCACTAGGGCACACATAAAACAAAACAGAGACCTCTGCTCCCTTCTCCCCACAGTGACCAGTAACTAAAGGCCCTGCAGACACACTCAGGACCTGGGGCCTCCTAAATCACACGCACACACAGAAGGTTCTGATTTGCGTGACCTGGGCCACGCAGCAGCACTGCCTCCATGGAGATGGCCAAGGAGGCCAAGGGCCTAGGGCCGGCCGCCCTGGCGTGGGCTCCTGAGCCTCCGAAGTGGATTTGGTGCGGGGTCTGGAGCCAGCATTGCCCTGATTGCTGTGCTCCTCACTGTCACACCCTTTCACTTGCACTGGGTTACTGGGATCCTAAGGTAATCTGCGATCCCAGTATGTCTCTCAGAGGCTCAAGGAAGGGAAGGGGCCAGAGCTGGTACAGAGACAGTGAGAGCACGGCGCCCCCCATTTCAATGTCCTCCCACTTCTCTCTTATGAGTCCTTCCAGGCACAGATCCCCTTTGCCCTCTGTGAGGCCCAACCTCTCACCTCATCCTCTCTCCCAAAATCCAAATCCCATTTCCTGAATCATCCAGTAGTGACCTAGGAGAAAAATAAGCGTATCCCATGGAGTCCATCACCTGCCCTTCTTTGCCCACACTGAGAACAGAGCAGGCTGGGAGAGGAAGGAGACCCCCAGATCCCTAGCCCAAGGCGTGGCCTGTGGGAGCAGGGACAGGGCGGCTTGTGGCGTGCCGCACGATGGTGAGAGCGCAGCCCTTGGGGCCAGCAGCCCTGAGTGCGAATCCTAGCTCCAATACTTGGCAGCTGGAGGATCCTGGGCAAGTCACTTAACTCCCCCCACAGAGGTCTCTCTGTCAGTGAAATAGGAACAATAAATACAATTTGTTATTAGGATATAATGGGAAAGAAGGAACAGCACTTAGCATAGCTCTTGCCACGGAAGAGCTCAAAAATGGCAGCTACTGGCATGGGCTTTTGCCTGCCACTGGGAGGCTCCCGTCCTCCGCAACTGAGCCTTCTTTTGCCCCTCGTTAGAGGGGGCACAACCTTGGGGTTGGCGGCCAGGGGTCTCCTCCGCATCTGACCCTTAGCCTCTAAGGTCCTGAGTGCTTGCCACCCAGGCTGACTCCTAGTGACTGCCCTTCACAAGCCAGGCCAGCCCCAGCCTGCCCCCAGCCTGCCTGCTGTGTTGAGCTCTGCTGTCACCGTCACATCATGAGCTCCTTGTCCCATTGCCTGCAGAGCAGTAACCATTACGGACACCATCAGATGCATGCCGGGTTAACTTGGTTGTAATGATTATCTGATTGCAACACTTGACTGAATGTGAAGCAGGACCTCAAACCCTCAGAAGATCCAAGGGGCTCATGACCTCATGAGTGAGGTCCTGTGCTTTCCTCCTGCCAGAGCATGTCCTGACTGATATCCTGGGGCCCCCTTCGGGGTGGCCATCAAATGGTCTGCCACAGCCTCAGCATTCTCTGCCCAAGGTCCTAAGCCCCTTAGAACAGACAGTAAGCCCCAGAACCCTGGCCTCGAGTGGCACTCCCGGGGTATAGAGCTGAGGGAAGCTTGCCTTACTCCAGAGGTCTCTTGGGAAGTTCGTTGATGCAGAAGTAACATCAATCACTCCATCCTGCTCCGGGGAGAGAGGGAGCGCTGCATGGTCTTGGGGACCACCTTTAATGTCTGCCCAGGAGACGCTGGGATAGAGCCAGGCAGGGAACCCTATCTGAGGGGCTTCAAGACATGGCCCTTCAGCCTGGGCATCTACTCAGCAGGGACGTCACTGCAGAGCGCCAAGTGAGGCCAGCAGGGTACTTGGAATGACTCCCAAACAAGGTGTGTTTCCCCACAACACTCTGTGCCCTGATTGCCGGGCACTCTAAGGGAACATTTTGTTAACACTCTTCGAACAGGGTCCTAAAACTTGCTAAGAGACCTTTTCTCTCTCTCCACACACACAGGCACACACCATACAGTACACAGGTGCGCACACCCTGCCTGAACTCTGAAATGCAGCCCGTGGCTGCTCGAGGCCTGACAGGTTAAACAACAGCCCAGAGACCCCAGTCCTGAGGCTTCTACACAAATACCATCTCCTCACAGCACTAAGGGAAAGTCCCTCCTTACCCCACGGTTGAGGTCTCCTCCTTAAAAATGAGTGGGCCTTATTCCTTAGTATGCAACAGGCTGTCAGGAGCTTTGGCTTCTCCTTTCAGCAGCGACCACTGAGCAGAATCCCCAGTGGCTGTATCTTCCCACTGGGCCCTTCCCTCATCTAGGGAGGAAGTGTGCAGGGGGTGGGAGCAGCTGCAGGCAGAGGCAGCACCACCTCTGCAGCAGAGGGCATCTGCCCCAGCCCTCTCCTCCAGGGCTCCGCACAGAAAGAGGGAAAAAGACAGAAGGCGACTGGAACAGGGGCAGACAGGGGAGCAGAGCCAGCTGAGGCCCATGGGCCTTTCTGCAGTCACGCTCCTCAACACTGTGGCAGGGCCAACTGGGGACCAGAGGAGGGCCTGGAAACAGCAGCCAGGGAGGTGGGGGAAGAGATACCTGGCGGAAGGGGAGGCAACTGTGATTCCAAATCATAAATAGCAAGGGACGAAGGAGCCAGACATCCCCTTCTCCATCAGACCCTTAGGCAAGCAGAAGCCCAATCACATGAACCCGGGCTGCCCTTACTTGGGTAAGGCAGGTGCGGGGGTAGGGACTGCGATGGGCTCAATGTTTGTGTCTCCCCAAGATTCCTATGTTGAAACCATATCCCCAGTGTGAGGGTGTTGGGAGGTGGGGCTTTGGGAGGTGAGTAGGTCATGGGGCACGACCCTCATGAATGGGATTAGTGCCCTTCTAAGAGGCCCCAGAGGGCTGCCTTGCCCCTTCCTCCACCCGAGGGCACAGCAAGAAGGCACCATCTATGAATCAACCAAAGGCAGCCCTCACCAGACACTGAATCTGCTTGTGCCTTGATCCTGGACCTCACAGCCTCCAGAACTGTGAGCAGTAAGTTTCTGTTGTTAGTAAGCCGCCCAGCCTGTATAGGCTTTTTGTTATAGCAGCCCAAATAGACTAAGACAGAGGTCTGTCCACACTTTCTAGAGGGCGGTTCTAACTGAGTGGGATTTGTGCAGGAGTTGCCTTACACCAGTGCAGCAATCGTGTCGACCTCTGCCCTCCGCAGAAACCACAAGACCTCGCGGAGGCTGACATCACCAGACAGCTGGGGAAACCTCTCAGCCTTGTGGACCAGGACCCTGGCAAAGACTGAGGCTGGGTTCAACCTCTGTGCAGGCGCCAGCTGCAGTCAGGCCTGCAGATGGCCCCACTCCCACCTTGAGTGTACTCTTCTCACCCTGCCTGGCTCAGGACATTGCCCATGAAGGACAGGTAGCCCCATTTCCCCCGCTACACCTCGGTGGGTCCAGCTTCCCCAAAATATTTGGTGGAGGGGCTGGAGCGAAGGCCGCAGGATAGCATGGTAAGGTAGGAGGTGAAATCTTTGACATGATCCCAGCACAACCCCTTGACTGGGAACGGAATTGGGGTAAGGCTTTGTACATTTTCCCCAAAGATTTTCATACCCATGATCTCACTTCGGCCTCACAATGGTCCTGTGAAGTGAACCAGACAGATGCTATTTCCCCAACTTTACAGATAAAGAGGCCTGGGCAAGGGAAATGGCTCCATGGACATGGAACGGGGAGTTAGCAATGCGCTTTGTTCCCTGGTGGTTTTGCTTAAGTAGCAGAGAAGCACCAGCCTGGGGGATGTGGCGGTGGGGGTTACTGGCAGTTTCTACAGGGTCTCAGGGATGAGGGTGCCCACTGGTCTGCTGGTGCAGGAGTCTGCCTGCCCTCTCATTTTGGGACGTCTCCTACTGTCCTGATGCTGAGTAAACAGAGGGACCATGGTGAGGAGGGAGGGAGAGATAATGTGGGCTCTGAGCTCTTACCTGTTCTGGCCAGAGTCCTGCAAGGAGGTGCCCAAGGCCCAGTCCACATCCCCGACTGGTCGCTCTAGGATCCAGAACAGAAGCAGAGATCAGGACAGAGCCAGAAACAGGGCTCTCAGCTGCCACTTAGTGAACACTGAGGAGAAGGGTTTCTCCAGAAGCAACTTACTCCCCAGATAAATGCAACACCTTGCCTGAAAATTGGAGGCGGAGCCTGTCACCATGACTGCTGTGGACACAGCCATATGCTGAGAGGATCACATGCCTGGGCTCAGGCATGCGGTGATGAATAAGCTTGTGAGATTTTGGAATGAGAAGGCAGGAGGGGAAAGAGGCTGTCCTCTCGGGTCTGGACACTTGTACATCCCATTGGCGCTACCGTCTGAGCTCAGCCCAGCTGCTAGAACGCCCAGCCTCCTTTTAGGAAGGGGTTCCTGTCTGCTTGCCCCACCAGAGGGTCCTCACTGAGGGTGAGGGCATGTCACTGGAGGGAGAGGCAAAAAGCCACTCCGGAAAGGAATCCAAGCCGCAAGGAAGACATCATTGGCCTCTAACCCCAAGCACACAGGGTGGCCTCCCATTGGTCTGCAGGGTCATGGGGGGCTTCAGCAGACAGGCTGCCTGTGAGGCTGCAAAGAATCTATGTCAGAGCCAAGAATAAGAGGCCATCCTGATGATTCTGCGGACAGGCAGCTGTCAGGCTCTCCCTCCTTTCCTGCCCCATTCCCTCTGTGGGACCCCCTCCTCCCCTTTTCCTCCCTCTGGATTGCCTCCTGCTCCCTCCACCACCTGGACCTCCATAGTGAGCTTCACCTGGTGCAGCTGTGTCCCAGGACGGAGTCTGGGCGGGGGTTCCCGCCTTGCGGGGGCTCTGCCCAGAAACACTGAGCATCTCCTGCAGCAACAGGCGGTTTCTCTCCACCCGATCAGACAGGGACAAGGCACTGCTCCCGGTGCCCAGAGCCTCCAGGTCTCCAGCTCTCCAGCGCTCACCCAGCAGGGCTGTCCCGGGGACAGATTCCTCCTCAGAGGTCAGGGATGTGCTATCCAGATCTGCATCTGTGACCACACCATCTGGAAAAGGGGAGGACCTTCCTGTCCTCGGGCTGGGAATGTGGATGATTTTGTTACAAGGACCAGGATCCCCAGGCCGTCCGGGAGTAATTCCATGGATGGGGCTCTCTTGCAAAGAGCTGGGCCCCAGCAGCGGACCTCTCTCATGGTCAGGCAGCGTCCATTCGGCTTCTGGAGGCCACGGGCTCCCCCTGTTGCAGTATTCACGCCCAGGGGCAGGCGGCCTGGGAGGCCCAGGGCCCCCATCCCTGGCGGGTTCTTCCTCATTGATGCCGCCGTCCAGCTGCCCATCAGGCAGGTTTTGGGTATGAGGAGCCACTACAGTACTTGGCAGGAAAGGCCCCTCCGATGAAGTCCCGGCTCCCCCTGCCTTGTCTCGTCTGCATTTGGGTTTCTTGGGGGATGACCGCTCATGGGAAGCAGAGCAAGGGCTCACTCCCTGTTTGGCTGCTGTCATCTTCTCCTTCAAAGCCCTCACCTTGGATTCCAGCACAGAGGGGCCTTGGAGCTGTACCCCCCATACTCTGGGAGGCCGGGGGGCCATCGGGCTGGATGTTCTGTTTTCCTGAGGGCAAGGCCAGGGTCTTGGGGGGTGTCCATTATCCATTTGTGACTCAAGACCTCTCCACTCCACAGCTGAGGTCCCCTCCATGGGGCTGGCTCTTCCACTCCCTGTCTTGGGCCCTCTGGAGGAGAAAACAGACAGAGCTCCTGAGACCCAGCACAGGACAAACCCCCACAACCTCCCGGGGCCCCAAAGTGTCTTGGTGTTGAGTCCTGTCCAGATGAAAGTAACCTGGAGACAGAGCAGGGCATGCCCTCTAGATCAGTGGTCCCCAACCTTTTTTGGCACCAGAGGGACTGGTTTCATGGAAGACAGTTTTTCCACGTATCGGGGGCAGGGTGGAGCGCAATGGTTTTGGAAGGAAACTGTTTCACCTCACATCATGAGGCATTAGATTCTCATAAGGAGCTTGCACCCTGGCCCTCTCACATGTGCGGTTCACAGTAACATTTGTGCTCCTATGAAAATCTAATGCCGCCGCTGATCTGACAGGAGGCAGAGCTCAGGTAGTAATGCTCACTTGCTTGCTGCCACTCACTTCCTGCTGTGTGGCCTGGTTCCTAATAGGCCACGGACTGCTATGGTCTGTGGACCACTATTGGTTTGTGGCCCGGGGGTTGGGGATGCCTGCTATTGATAATGTGAAAGTGCTTTTTTAAAAATGCAAATCATTGAAGAGTGCAAATAAGTTATTGTTGAATGTTTTCTTCCAAGTCTGAGTAGTGTTCTAGTTTTTCTATCCCCATTTTACAGATGGGCAAAATGAAGCTTCAGAGGACAACTAATCTTATGCCAAATGTGTACCACAGTGAAAACCAGGGTGATTTCCCAGTCCTTGGCCTCTTGCTTTCCTGAAGGGTAGCTTCAGTGGAGGATGCTCGCATCTGCTAACAGGCAACATGCTCTTCCCTCTCCAAGGGGAGCCAATGAGGATGATGGACATCAGGAAGACACCAAGCAGGATCTGACCTCTGGTAGAAGGTGCTGCATCCAACCTCACCCCTGACCCTTGATGCCCAAGCCACAGGACCACAGTATGGGGTTGAGCTCAAAGGGAGACCTTGACCAGTCAGGAACGCTGATCAGGCATCTGCTCTATGCCAGGCGGGACTGCAAGTGCTTTCAAGCACACTCCCCCAGTAATCCTGTCCCTAACAGAATGGCGTTATTGACCAGGCGCGGTGGCTCACACCTGTAGTCCCAACACTTTGGGAGGCTGAGGTGGGTGGGTCACTTGAGGTCAGGAATTCGAGATCAGCCTGGCCAACATGGTGAAACCCCATCTCCATTAAAAATACAAAAAATTGGCCAGGTGCGGTGGCTTACACCTGTAATCCCAGCACTTTGGGAGGCTGAGGCGGGTGGATCACTTGAGGTCAGGAGTTTGAAACCAGCCTGGCCAACATGATGAAACCTCACCTCCATTAAAAATACAAAAAATGTGCCAGGCACGGTGGCTCACACCTGTAATCCCAGCACTTTGGGAGGCTGAGGCGGGTGGATCACTTGAGGTCAGGAGTTTGAAACCAGCCTGGCCAACATGATGAAACCTCACCTCCATTAAAAATACAAAAAATGTGCCAGGCGTGGTTGCCGCGCGCCTGTAATCCCAGCTACTTGGGAGGCAGAGGCAGGAGAATCACTTGCATCCAGGAAGTAGAGGTTACAGCGAGCCGAGATCCCGCCACTGCACTCCAGCCTGGGCGATAGAGCGAGACTCTGTCTCAAAAAAAAAAAAAGGGCTTGGTTATATACTTCTACAGATGGAGAAATTGAGGCACAGATTACGACACAGAGGTGCTAAGGGGAGGCCCAGTTTGGAATTCAAAACTTCTCATTCCAAGCCCAGGCCTTTTCCAAAACATGTAGTGATCACTTAACCCTATTCCCCTTATTCCGTAAATGAGAATGTTCCATCCCCAGAGGTTGGGTGGCTTGCCAGCGCTGCACAGATCCTTAGCAGCATGGCTGATGTTTACCCCTTCACAAGGAATGAAGGTGAGCAGGGGTTTGACTCAGGGTGTTGCATGCATATCTACGTGCCACAGCATTTTAATGTTGATTCTACCTTCTGAGAAAAATGCAGCTTTAATATCATACATCTAGATGTGCCCTACTTGAAGTAAACTTTGTGCATAAAAATCCGTATGTGTATAAACTTCAAATTAGGAGTTATCCACTTCATAACACTGACCAAGGATTCACCACAAAATCCTCTTAAATGGCAAGTCCCTCTGTAGTCGTTTATTACAATTCAATTTATACACAAGCTTTCAGGAATGCACACATTTTATAAAGCAAAATACACGTATAATGCGAAATGTCACATCAGTTTTAAGCCAGTAAAGTTTAAGGATTATCTTTAGGAGGACAGAAATAATTTGTTCTCTGAGTTAATCTAGAATGCAGCAAGTTTCTCTTTGCATCTCCTTCTTCTCTTCTAAAGTCCAATCCAGAAAACAGGGGATTAGAATGTAATATGAGCAATTTGTGTAAAGTTAAAAGAACTTTTTCTTTTTGGGGAGGCTGAAGCCAGAGGAGGCCGGGCTTGAGCCCGGGAGGTAGAGGTTGCAGTGAGCCAAGATCACACCACTGCACTCCAGCCTGGGCGACAGAGCGAGACCCTGGCTCCAAAAAATTAAAGTAAGAATTGTTAATGGGTGAACTGTGGAACAGCACGCCAGAGACCTTAAAGAAAGAGACCCTCCCACTGGAGTCCCCTGGGCATGGGCTTTCGGGAAGATGGGTCAGCTCGGAGCCGCCTGGTTCTGTGGCCCAAGCACTGTGATGTATTTCCTCTAACTCAGAGGGGCCAAACGAAGATGGACGTGAAGGGCAGGCCTCCCCACGACCCTTCCAGCTCTGAGCCTGTAGGAGGCCTGCCTCCCAGTGTCCGGGGCGACCTGGGCTCCCCACTCCGCCGCCCCGCCGGTCCGCCACCCCCGCCCGGCCGGCCTGGCGTTGCTTCCTCTATACTCACTGGGGGCTGCTGCCCGCGGGTTTGGCCGCTGCCGCCTCTGTCCCCTCCATCCCTTGGAGAGGCCAGGCCCTCTCCAGCCCCTTCTCCCTCCCAGGCCCGCTGCTGGGTTCGGGGAGGGACTTCCAGCCCCGAATCCGGGGCCGGAGTGCGGCCCGCAGGCCTCGCCCCTC